CACCTCCTTGGTCCTGCTTGAAATGCATCTGTGGATGCACGACAAGGTACAGTTGGCCTTCCTAGCTGCCTCCCCACACTGCCGAGCCATGTTCATCTTGGAGTCAATAATGACTCCAAGATCCTTTTCCACCTCCGTGCTGACAAGAGGGGAGTTCCCCAGCCTGTAGGTATGGTGCCGGTTGTTCCTCCCCAGGTGCATCACCTTGCACTTGTCTGTGTTGAACCCCATCCTGTTCTCCTCCGTCCATCCTTGTAACCTGTCAAGGTCCGACTGTAGCCTGTTGCTCCCTTCTATTGTGCCTACATCCCCCCACATCTTGGTGTCATCAGCAAATTTGAACAGGGTGCTTTGCACCCCCTCATCCAAATCACTGATGAAGATGTTGAACAGGGTGGGCCCGAGGACCGAGCCCTGCGGGACCCCACTGCCCACGTCCTTCCAGGCCGAGAAGGACCCATCCACTACCACCCTCTGGGTGCGGCTCTCTAGCCAGTTGGCGACCCATTGGACTGTGTGGGTGTCTACGCCACAGTCCCCCAGTTTCCTAATGAGAACGGGGTGAGAGACAGTGTCGAAAGCCTTCCGGAAGTCCAGGAAGACTATATCCACTGCTACCCCTGCATCCAATGATTTTAGTGACCTGATCGTAGAAGGCCACCAGGTTGGTCTGACATGACCTGCCACTGATGAACCCGTGCTGGTTGCCCCTGAGCATGCATTTCCCTGCTGGCCCCTCCTGGATGTGTGCCAGAATAATTTTCTCGAACAGCTTACCCAGGATCGAAGTAAGACTGACTGCCCATATGACTGCACAGTGGATTATACAGCACCTTAAAGCAATCTTTTCCAGACATGGAATTGTATGTGGGGTTATGTCTGGCACTGGCCCCATTTTCGGGGCATGAATTAAAAAAAATTGCATGGGACTATGGTTTTCGGTATGTTACATTGAGCCTGAGATACCCACAGTCTAATGGGCTTGTGGAAAATGGTGTTAAGATAATAAAGAGATTATTAAAGAAAGCCAGTGATTCAGGTGGTGATCTAGATTTAGCGATTCTGAATTACAGAACAGGTCCTCTAGCACGTGGCCTGTCACCTGCTGACATTTTATTTAACAGAAAGATGAGAACTAGGTTACCCAGACAGACAGTAATATGTCTCAGGCCTGGCACTGATTTGCACAGGTATAAGCAAAAGGTCAAAGCTAAACAAAAATTGTACTATGGCAAAGGGTCATGGGTGTTGTAGGCACTGAAGCCCAATGCTGAAGTTCATATTTATAATGGTGAAACCTGGGAACAGAAAGCGCGGGTTATTCATAAGGTTACTCCACGATGTTACGATGTATTGGCTCGGGATGGACAATCCATGATTTTACGATGTATTGACATGGAATGGACAATTTTTTCAACGTAACAGAAAACACTTGCAACACATTCCTGAACAAGGGGAGGAGGAGAGAACAGCTGGAAACTGCACACAAGCTGACTCAGGAAAGTTGTTCAGAGATGACAGAGGCACTAAAAGAACAGATATCCACTTCAGTCACTGAGGAGGCTGAAGCGGCACCACGTGGATGCTGAGCACCACAAAGACTTAATCATCATTGTTAATGTTAGTGTTCTAATGTAATTTCTTTATTAAAAAATGGTTGATTAAAATTGTGTTATAGTTAGGAAGCTAGATGTCTAAGGTTGTTGTACAGAGTTGTCTGCAAAACATTGCTATAGTCTTTCATTAATATAATAAACAAGATTTTCTTTTATCAAGAAGGTGTACTTCTTTAACAGCACTCATCATTACAACATGGATCCACTCTCATTTGAATGGCATCTGTCCAGAGGAGGCCAGGCCTGGTGAAGACAGGTGACTCGTAAGAAGTTGCACCTGATAGTGAAATGTGTATCCTCCTCCTGAAAGCCAACCTACAGTATTGAGAATACCATCAGTGTGGAGTTTGATCCAGAACCCTGTGAAGTCTAAGGGTGTCTGGCCTTCAGAGTAAGCCCTACATGATTACACCACTCTGAAAAAAAGCAGCTGCCAGATGAATAGCAAGTACAGCAAACAGAAAGGAAAAAAGCCAGATTGGTATGAGATAATTAGCAGGGATGGAGAGTC